GGTCTTAAGTGCAAGACAATAAATCTTATAATTCATGCGATCTTATAATCCTGTAATAGTAATATATACAAAACTCACAATGAAATAAATGTTTTGCTACAGTTTCGTTAGGCATAAACTCTGCCACCAGCAATCTCTCCTCTTCCTCATAGCAACATCCTATCAGATTTGCCAATCGCTCACTTCTCAGGTTCCTCACCGCCTTAGCCTCATCCTATAATAACCGACCAAAAAATAGTAACAAGATATTAACGAGAATCAGGCCAATCTAAGAGGAAAGTGGTTTCTCTGTATTAGCTGGAACCAAAAAGATAGTATGTCTTGTTGTGCAGAGATAAAATTGATTTAGAGGAGCAATTGGCTGGAGCCCTCAATGAACAATTTCTTGATTTATATTAGGAGCAGGTTAGCGATCTGTAAAAGACCCAATCTTGAACTCGATTAAGAGACGGCAAAAGGCTCAATAACAGAGAGTGAAGAAAGACAAGAAAAAGGTGAGAACGAGAAATGGGCAATAATCTAACAATAACAGCAATACTAATAGAAATGGTGTGAAAACGAGAACGAGAAGAATTGGGAAATCTTTACTCAACACATCAAGTGATTTTTCTAAAGCAACACTATAAGTAAACTCTCTACAAATATCTTCTTCTAATGTTCTCTTCATTCTTAAATGAACGGAATAACCATCGTGACTATCAATTGGCCCAATACTCCCATTGTCCAAATCAAACATTCCGATACCGCGACTCTTCCACAGCCAATCAGCCTCCCTGCCACTAAAGAACTGATCTGTAAAGAATATACAATTAACTTTACACCAATTATCCCCAAACACCACTGAAGAATTGTTAATGAAAAGGAATTGACCTTAAACTTGAAGTCGTTGATCTCCAGCTTCAGCTCCTCCTCCACCGCACCGGCCACCACAACAGATCCTTTGTCTTCATTGTCTGTCTCCGTCGTGCCGGTCACCGCGATGGATCCTTCTTGTACGTTTTCCTCCATTTTGCCTGCTAGTCATAAACAAGCCGTGGCTAACAACTGAAATCCCCATGTTTTACCTCTCTGTGAACACCAAGAAAATTATGACAAATCAAGAATGGAGACAATAAATAATAGGAATATAAAATACACATTTTACATCTTTATTTAATGCTCTCATATGACTATTTTATGCCTAAACGTACATAGTATTCTCATAATTTGGTTTAGGTGGCAAGTTGATGGATATAGCGTAATTTGGATGAAATATGTGAAAATGGACCAAAG